GAAAGGGGGGGGAAGTTAGGGGAAAAAAAAAGAAGAGAAGAAGAAAAGGGGAGAGAAAGAGAGAACAGGGAAAAGAGAGAGGGGCAGGATAAAAGAAAAGAAGAAGAGAGATTGAACGAGAGAGAGATTTGGGTAGAAAGAAGAGAAAGAGAGAAAGAGAGAGCAGAGAAAACAGAGAAACAGGGGAGAAAGAAAAGAAGAAAAAGAGGAAAGAAGAGAAAGAGAAAGGGGGAGACAGAGAGAGAAGGGGAAACAAAGGAGAAAAAAAGAAGGGGAGAAAAAGTTTTAAAACAGGAAAAAGGAAAGAATAAGGAGAAAAAGAACAGGGAGAAAATTTAAAGAGAAAGGGGGAGAAAGAAGAAAGAAAGTAGAGAGAAGGAAAAGGGAGAGGGTAGAGAAAGGGGAGGGGTGAAAAAGGGAGAGAGAAAAACAGGGAAGTTAGAAAAGGAGAAAGAGAGTTTAAAAGAAAAAGAGAGAGAAAAAGAGAGAAAGGAGACGATAGATAAGAGAAAGGAGCAAAAAGAGGAAAAAAGAGAGAGTTTAAAAAGAGAAGGAGAGAGCAAGGAAAAATAGAGAAAGGGGGGAAGGGAAGAGAGAGAGAGTAAAAAAGGGGAAAAAAAGGAGAGAGTAAGGAAGGGAAAATAGAGAGAGGGTTTGAGAAAGGAAGTAGAGGGAAAAAAAGGAAAGGAGAGAAACAAGATAAGGGGGGAATAGAGGAAAGGGAGAGAAAAGAAAAAGAGTGGGAGTAAGAGATAAGAAACATGGAAGGAGAGAAAAAGAGGCAGAGAGATAAGAGAAAAAGAAAAAGGAGGGAAAAAAAAGAGAAGTAGAAAAAAACAGGAATAAAAGTGGAAAAAAGGGTAGAGAGAAAGAGAAAAAGAAGGGGAAAAAGGGGAAAGAAAAGAGAGCGAAGAAGAGCAGAGAGAGAGAGAGGGAGATAGAGAGGTAGAGAAAAAAGGGGGAGTAGGAGAGGAAAGAGAAAAGGGAAAAAAAGATAGAGGAGAGCAGGAAAAAGTGAGAGAGTAAGAAAGAAGACAGAGAAAGGGGAAAAAAAGAAAACAGGGGAAAGACAAGACAAGGGGGGAGAAGAGGGAAGAAAGAAGAGGCAAAGAAGCAGAGAGAAGAGAGGGAAAAGAGGAAGAGAGAGAGAAAAGGGAGAAGAGAGAACCAAAAAGAAAAATAGAAGAGGAAGAGGGAAATTAGAAAGGAGAGAGAAGGAAAGGGAGAAGAGAGAGAAGAAAAGGGAAGAGACAGGGGAAAAGAGAGAGAGAGGAGAGAAAAAGAGAAAGGAGAAGACAGAGAGATGAGCAGAAGACAGAAAGGTAAGGAAAAGAGTGAAAAATAGAAAAAGAGAAAGAGAGAGGAAAATAGAGAAAGAGAAGAGAGAAAGAGAGAAAGAGAGGATAGAAAAAAGGGAAAAAATTTAGAGAGAAGAAAGAAGAAAGAGAGAGAGAGAAAAGTGAAAAAACAAAGAAAGAACAGAAGAGTAGGAAAAAAGCGACATAAGATAAAAAGAGAAAAAGAACAGGAGAGAAGAAAAGGAGAAAGAGAGAAAGGGGGCAAGAGAGGAAAAAGGCAAAAGGAAAAAGAAAAATGAGACAGAAAGGAGAAGCAGAGAGAGCAAAAAGAGAGAGAGAAACAAAGGGGGGTAGGAGGCAGGGGGAGAATATATAGACAGGAGAGTAAAGAAGAACAGAAATTTTTAAAAAGTAGAGAGAGAAGAAAAAAAGAAAATTTGGTAAGAGGGCATAAAGGGGAATAGAGAAAAAAGGGGAAAAAAAGGGAAAAGGGAGCAGGGGAGAAACAAAAGGAGAAGAGGGGAGAAAAAGGGGGAAGAGGAGGAAAAGAAAAGGAAAGGGGAAAAGGAGAGTAGAGAGACAGGGGAAGAAAAGAAAGAGTAGAGAAGAAAGGGGAAATAAGGACAGGGATAAGAGAAAAGGAAAGATGAGTAGAAGAAAAAGATAGAATGAAAAGTAGAGAAACAGGAGAGGGCAAGACGCAAGAGGGAGCCCAGAGAATAGGAATAAAGAAAAAGATGACAAAAGAATAGAAGAAAGGATAAGATAGAGACAGGGGGAAAAGGAAGAACAAAAACAGGGGATATTAAAATTTTGGGTCAAAAACAAAAAAGAGACCCCGAAGCAAGGTTGAGAAACAAGGAAAAGAGAGCAAGGAAACAGATAAGTAGAAGAGAAAGAGAATTGAGAGAAAAAAATCATAGGAGAAAAAGAAAAAGCAGAGAAATAAGAAGTAAAAAAAGAGAGAAATAAAGGGGGAAGAGAAAACGGGGGAGCAAAAAATAAGAGATAGAGAAGCGAAAAAAGAGCGGGACAGAAGAAAAGGGAAGAGGGAGAGAGGGAAAAAGAGGAAAACAGAGAGGGGGAGAAAAAGAGTGAGAGAACAGGGAAAAAGAAAAGAAGAAAAAGTAAGAGAAAAAAAGTAAGGAAAAAAGGGGGAAATTAGGAAAAAAGAAGAAAGGGGGGAGAAGTAGAGAAGTAGAAAAAAAAAAAGAAGAAGAAAGAAAAGCAAAAGGAGGGAAAAAGAAAGGAGCAGAAAGGAGGGTAGAAGAAGGAACGAGAATAGAGGGGAAAAGAGAGTTTAAAAAAAGAAGGAAAGAGGAAAAAAAAAGAAGAAGTAATAACCCGGAAGAAAAAAAAAGGAGAAAGGGGAAAATTTGAGGAAGGAAAAGAGAGACAAAAGAGAGAAAGAAGGGGAAAAAAGGCAAGATAAAAGAGAGAAAAGAAGAAAGAGAAAAAGGGGAGAGCAAAGGGAGAGAGAAATAGAAGGAAAAAGAGGAGAACAGGAAAAGAGAGGAAAAAGATAGAAAAAAGAGGGTTATAGAGGGAAGAGAAAAGGAGAGTTTAAAAGAGAAAGGGGCAGAGGGGAAAAGAGAGTAGAGAAGAGAGAGAAAGGGAAAAGAGCAAGG